TGAGAAGCTGAACAGGCCCCCCGCAACGCTTGCGGGCACTGTCCTGGGCCAGCCCGCAGTCTCGCAACCCTGGTCTCGGCCAACTGTTCCGAGTGTCTACCGCGCGCGAAATGTCTCTTGCCCTTTTTGGCTACAGACTCGAGCTGGCGAGTGGGACCGAGAAGACCTGGAACTTGCTCCAGGCCTGACCCGTGTCACGAGTTTTCAGCTGCAGCAACCCAGAGTTGGCGCCCCTTGCCTTTGGCGAGAGCCTCGAGACGGTCAGCCAGGCCCACCCTGCCTCGCCCAAGCTTACTTCCCGAGATCGCGCGCCGACCGCCAGGGGCGCTCTCCCAGGCCCGCGGGCCCCAGGGCTTCCTACCTGCGCCAGGCAGCGCGGCTACGGCGGCGGCGACTTGGATGGCAATCCCACGCCCACAGTTGCTGGCAAGCTTGCTTTCGAGCTGTGAGACAACCTCGCGCCAAACGCTCCTGGTCTTCTCTGCATCAAAGCTGGCGTGGGCTCAAATCTGAAAGCACACACCGATCGCGCGTCAAACATGGCGAAGAGAGCAGGGCCCCGTCTACCACACCCTGAAGCCAAAAGCGCGGCCAGGACTCCCCCCCCTTTAGAGACATCCCAGTCAGCTGAGCATGACGCCGCGCAAGGGGGATGCCGTGAATCTTGTCAGAATATTTGGCTTTGGAGAACGCCGAGTCCATGGCCATCTTGCGCGCACTTTGTCCATCACCTGTTGCATCGAGCAAGCTCTTTCGGAGTCTGACTAGGCATCTGTCTGCACCAGCCCTCCCAATGGCCTGCTTGGATCTTCCTCTGGGCCCTTACACTAGCTCAAGACCGACTCTCTCCTCTCTCTCTCTCTCTCTCTCTCTCGAGAGAGAGAGAGAGAGAGAGAGAGAGAGGGAGAGAGAGAAGGAAAAGAGAGAGAGAGAGAGAACAAACAAAAAGAAAGAAGTAGAGGGAGAGGGAGAGAAAAAGGGAAAGGGAGAGGGAGAGGGAGAAGGAGAGGGGAGTAGAGAGAGAGAGAGAGAGAGAAAGAGTGAGACGCAACCACTCTATCACTGCTGCCATACATGCACTGCACGATATCGTCAGCACACGCCTGCATGGACGGCAAAGGTGGCCCGGTGGCAATCTTCCCACGCTCGAAGTGCAACGCAGCCAGACCTCCATCCACTGATCCACTACTCCCTGGAATCAAGCACATTCCTGGTTGGACGGCAAGAGGGAAGCCACCTGATTCCCTGAAAAAACCTGGCTGCCATGTGGACCTGGAGCTCTAAGGCCAAACAGCAGGGCGGAAAGACTAGAACAAAAGCATGTCCCAGGACCAGATCCCAGAGGGGACTGTCGCAAAAACCCTTCACACCCCAAAGAGAAGTGGCACTCTGGAGTGTCTGGCAGACTTGAATACGCCACTTGCCCGTCTCTCAAAATCCAAAGGAGAACTACCTGCACTACCGAGCTGCCTGACAAAGCTGCATCCCCTGTGCCAGCCTTTTCCTGGGCCCATCCCGCGCGATCGCCATGTCTGAGTCGGCTCCAAAAGCGCGTGGCCCAAGCTACCAAACCAATCGCACGGTCAGAGTCTTCATCGCTGGCTTAGAGAGCGGCGAGGACAGCGAGGGCCTGCCAGGGCCAACAAACTTCCTGATCAACTAGTGCGTCAAAGTCGGCCAGCTGCTGTAAACCGAATGGCCGCAATAAAAACTGACTTAAACAGCCCATCTACCCCAGGGACTTTCTCAGTGAAGACCGAGGTAACGCGTCAAAGCCATTGCGCGCCGACAGGACGCATGGTGTTTCGCTTGGCCCTGTTCTGGGCGCTCAGGCTGTGACGACGGGAAAACTACTGCGCCACCTGCTCACTTACTGTTCCGGATAGTGGCCTTCACAGCCATACTCTGGCAGGACACTGCAGCCGTTCCACCCATAGCCCGGACCCCCCACACACATACACGGACGCAATTTATCTTTAATTCGCTGCAGAGCCCACAGCCTCCAGCCTGATACTGCTGCATAGCCCACTCGTGAAATTTGCCCAGCGTTGACCTTAGCACAGCCCGCTGGGCCCTGGCTGAATTGCGCCTGGCTCTGGCCCCTAAGTCTATGATGGCCTGGTCCGAGGTGCATGTTAGGGCCCTGGGGCCTCTAACCCAGCCCGCTCGTAGCTTAGCGCTTAGTTGCAAAAGGAAGGAGACAGGGACAAATGCTGCCACGTGCTGAATACGCTCCAAGAGTCTCTGCGGTCGGTGCTACGAACGATCGCCGAAGAAACCAACCAAATCAGACAACAGCAACCTCGCGGTAGGCCACCAGTGGGCCACAGGGTCCCTAGAAGAAAAAAGTGGGCCTCGTGGGCCTCAGGCCTTACAGGAAGCTCCCGAAGCTGGGCCCGACCCTTGAAACGATGCCGATCCTTGGGGTGGGACCTCATGAAGCGCAGAAACAACTTCAACGTTCACAATAGAATCCGAAAGAACGGAGCCTCCTGTCTGCACGGCTACCTGTTCACCGAACCTGAAATCGCACGAGCCCTTCTCGCACGATGGGGTGATGCCTTTCAGCCTTTGTCCCTGAAGACTCACACGGGACGTCCTGCTGTTCAGCTGGCACGGTGACACGTACATGACCTTCGCCACATGACCTGCTGGCATCTAGCTTCCCATTCGCACTGCATGCTGCATCCCGAGGTGCTCCCTTACCTGGGGCTTCCTGGGATCATCCGATTCTACCAGGTGTTCCCCATGCTGGGGTTTCCTGGGATCGGGATTGACCACCTTTTACCTGGCCGGCGATGCGACCAGGCGCTCCCCAGTCTGGAGCTTCCTGGGATCGGCGACCTCTGGCAGTGGGGTCGGGCAAGCCACCCGCGCTGGAAATAGGCGGTGCCGACCCACCCACGCCTGCGGCACCGACCCTCCCACGCTGGAAATCCGCCGACCCTGTCGGCGTGTGGAAGAGGCTTCTCCGTCTCTTCCCTCCTCGTCGTCGTCGTCGTCGTTCCCTCCCCTTTCCTCACAGCGTCGTTGCTTCTACCCCTCTCCCAGGGCCTCCTCCTGAAGCGTGCCAGTGCAAAGCGAAATTGAGCAACGTCGTAATTGAATCGAAGAAAAGCCCCTTCCCTTTGATCCCTTCCCCGCCGGGGGGGGGGGGGGTTGTCCCGGGCCGGGTTTTCGCGCCGCCCCCCTGGGGAATCCCGGAGCCCAAAAAAAAACCCAAGACGGGCCAGGGGGTGGTCCTGGGGTAGCTCCCGGGGGGGGTCCCGGGTTTATGCACAGCCCTCCCGGTGAATCCCCAAGCCCAAAAAGGCCCCAAGACCGGCCAAGAGTGCTCCAAGAGGCCCCCAAGATGATCCAAGAGGGCGCCGAATCGCCGAATGATTTGTCCAAGACGCCTCGACGGCCTCCAGACGGCCCAAAAGGCCTGCGAGACGCCCCCAAAGGCCTCCAGGACCCTTCCCACGAGAGCCCCAAGAAGCACAAATCATGGATTTCCCATGCGTTTTTGTCAAGGATGTTGGCGTTCTCGCCTCTTCCGCTTCCCCACGCACCAAGACGGCCCAAGAGGCTCCCAAGATCGCCCCGACACGGCCCCAGAGGCCTCCAAGAGGGTCCCCAAACGGCCCAAAAGTGCCCCAAGACGGCCCAAGACGCCTCCCAGATTCACAAAAGGCCCCCAAAACGGTTCCAAGAGAGCGCCCGGACGGGGGACCCGAACGGACATTTCGAGCCCTCAGCCCCGAGAAGCTCCCAAGAGGCCCTCCAGGAAGCCCACAGAGGCCCCAAGAGGCTCCCGAGAGGCCCCAAAAACTCTCCTAGGAAACTACAAAACAAACTAGGAAGTTACAAAACAACCGGGTCTTCCCTCCTCTTCGACCTTGTCCTCCTCCTCCGCCTGTTCCTCCTCCTCCCCATCAAAGAACGGAGGAGGGACACTTTCCCGAGCGCGGCAAGCGCGCTTTCAACGCCTCCGACGTCCGACAGCGCCTCGCAGCCACCGTCCGATCCGCGAGGGATGGCGCGCCCAGACGACCACTCTTCCTGTTGCGTTGTTATTTCTCCCCAATGACAGAACGCTGTCTCCAGGGTCGGCGGCATCGGCCGTAAGGCCTTCGCAATACTTGAGCCGTGCTGACCCACCCACGCGGGAAATAAGCGACTATGACCCACGCACGCTGGAAAGAGGCGGCTGCAACCCTCCCACGCTGGAAAAGGCGGCACAGATCCACCCACGCTGGAAGCAAGCTGATGCAACCCATCCGCGCTGGCAGTAGGATGCCTCGACCCACCCACGCTGGAAATACGCTGTTCAAGACCAACCAGACTGGGGGACGCACTGCTCCTCGTGGTCGTTATCCTCGATGCCGAATTCGAACTCTGGTTCCTCCTCGACGCCCCAGTCTTCGTTCCCCAGGTAGCTGAAAGGTCGAGGTGCCTTGAAACCAACCACCGATATGTTTCAACGGCTGCACGATGTCCGTGTCCTGGTCATGACTGGGTCCCTCGTCGACTGTGTCTGCAGCTGGTACTGGCTGCGATTTCATCCTGAGCTCCATCTCCCTCGACTTGTTACACGCTGGGTCGCAGTAACTCGCTGCCCTTGGTGAATAGACAAACCTCTCGGCCAACGCAGCACCCAACGCGGCGCCTTCTCGAGCTGCAACTTCATTTTGACATACAGCCCGGCATGAGACTTACCACCGCCAAGGCACGCCGAGTCGTGCAGACGAGGAGAAGAGGATGAGCAGAAGGAAGAGGAGCAGGAGGAGAAACGAAGATGGCCAGGAGGAGGACGGGAATCGGCAGCAGGAGAAGCAGGAGGAGTAGGAGAAGGAGGAGCAGGAGGAGCAGCAAAAAGCACAGCCACCGACGCCTTGCCCTGCGAGCGCCCGCGGCGCTCCGCCTTTGGCGCGGCCGCCTCAGAGCTGCACGAGCAGCGCGCGCAGGCCGCGGACATCGTGCGCGGAGCGCCGCCGCCACGTCCGCGCCGCTCGCGCTGCACTCGAGGTGGCCAGGCGCCTCCGTGGCCTTCTGGAGCTCCAGCTCCCGAAGGCCCCGATCGGCGTCCACGGCAGCCGCGTCCGCCGCCGCAGGCGACGCGGAGGCCGCGCCCCCACGCCAGCAGCCGCCGCCGCCGCCGCCGCCGCTCCCGCCGCCTCCGAGGCCGCGGCGCCCGCGGGCTCCGCGCAGCCCTCCGCCGACCCGCCCGCTGCGCCAACAGCACCAGCCGCCGTCGCCTCCCCAGGCTGCGCCGCCGCGGACTGCCCGCCGTCGGCCCACTCGTCGTCCATCGAGTCGTCGTTGTCGTCGTGGGCGATCCTGGTGGAGGCGGCGGTGCGGGCGGCTGCCAAGGCGGGCGCTCCGCGGCGCACTGTCGCGGCCGTGGCGCGTTCGGCGGTGTCCGCCGCGGCTTTCGCCGCGGCGGCAGGCGGCGCGGCGGAGCCTCGCGACGATCGTGGACGTGCAGGTGGTGCTGGCGCTGCTGGTGCGGCGAAGGCGGCGCGGCGGCAGCGCCGTCGCCAGCGCTTGGCGGCGGCGCGCCAGGCTGAGGTGGGGGCGCCCGGAGCTGCGGGCGGGGCCGTCGAGCCCGAGCGCGCGGCGGAGGGCGCCGCCGCGGCGTCATGGAAATCACTGCCGCCGTCGTCAGACAAGGAATCCTCCAGAATCTGACACCTCCTGGGCACATTCCATATGTGCCATCGCTCGGACGTCCGTCCCCCGAGCAGTTTTCGGTGTCGTGCTTTTTTGTCCGAGAGATGGCCCAGGACTCCCCTCGAAGGTCAAAGCCGGAAGCAATGCCAGCATCTGACCGGTGCCAAATTACCCCACCGTATGAAATAGCCGATGTGGAGATCCGCTGCGCGAGAAACACGACGCGGGAGAGGCGGCGGCGGCGCTGAACAGCATCAGGTGGGCAGTATGCATGTCATGTAATCCTACAAGGAGGAGGGAGAGGATCAGGAGGAAAAGGAGGAAGAGGAGGAAGCGGAGGGAGGAGAAGGAGGAGGAGGAGGAGGAAGAGGAGGCGGGGCAGGCGGAGTGAGGATGAAGAGGAGGGTACAGGAGAGAGGAGGAGGAGGAGGAGGAGGAGGAGGAGGAGGAGGAGGAGGAGGAGGAGGTAGAGAAGGGAGAGGAGGTGGAAGAGCAGCAGCAGCAGCAGGAGTAGGGCGAACAGCAGGAGAAGGCGATAAGGAGCAACAGACGGGAAGGAGGCATAACGCTCACACTGCTGTCTCTCACCTCGCACGGCTAATCACCGCCTTCGCCGTCGGCGCCTGCAGAGCTGCTCCGTCCAGTTCTCAGGGAAACTCCGCGGTCATGCCGAAAACGTTACCTTCAGCCTTCTGCATCGATGGCTGCGCTGCCTCCAAAGCGTCACCCATATGGGAAACGCTGCTTTGCCGACCATCCCTCTTGGCCAACTGTAAAACTGATGGGGCTTGGAATCGCCACTGCTACAAAACATGATGCGCTTGGCCTCGTCCGTCTCTTCCTTCCGAAGCAGAGAAACACTGATTGCTCCCTTTTGCACATTGGCCTCTGCTACTCCTCTGCGAATTGCCGTGTCGCCCTCTTGCTGCCCTCGCCTGGGGATCACCACCCTAGCCTCTGCCTACGCCGTCGCCTCTTCGTCTGCCCCAGGTGGCGTCTCAATCTCAGCCTCATTGTTCGCTTCGTCGTCGGCAGCATTACTCGCCTCCCCCTCCGCCTCGCGTTTCGCACTCTCCTCTGCAAACTTCTTTACCGTGTCGTCCGCTTTCTCTGGCGTCGTTTCCGCTTCTCCGGAGGGAAGACGGGAGGGCGCCAACTACACACCTGACACCGATCCTGGCCAGGTGCATCATGGGCCCAGAGTTGATGTGTACGCGCTCCTGGCTTGGCCAGGAGGGCACACGTACCGATCCTTGACCCAGGATCGGTGTAACGCGTATAGCTGGCGCCGTTCGAGAGGAGGGCATGCGGGCTGGGGGGGGGGCGGCCGCGGCGGCTAGCACAGGCCCGTCCTGCACAGGGGTGAGGCGGTAGTACCCCCTCTCCGCGAGGCTGGCGCGCAGGAAGGGGGGGAACCTCCAGGCGGGGGGGCGGCGCGGGTAACGGCGGGGGCACACGAGGGAGGGAGCACGACGAGGAGGGGCACAACGAAAAAGCGAGTGAATCCACACGTCAGCGCTGCAGGCGGGGTGCCCAGGCAACTCCGCGGCAACACCAGCGAGACAGCAGAGCAGAACCACTCCCTCGAAGACGAGGGCAAGTAACTGCCGATGAAACGGATGTATGCGGAAGCGTGCGATGGACATTGGACGTGAATAGTATCGCATTCCAAATGAATCGCTAAATACCACGCAGTTTAATCGGACCTAGGACAGAAGAACATCCTTCAAGATCATGAGACCCTCCGCTGGCCAGAACACACAGAGCAGCCAATGGCACCTTCCCCAGGATGCTCGAGAACATCCAACAGGCACGAAGAACAGGAGGGCACCCTCCCCGAACCATCTCAATCTTATACCTCGGGCCGACCGTACTCGCAAACGAACTCCAAATTGTCAGTTTGTCCATTCGGCTGGCTTCTGCCAGCCTATCTGGGCGCTGGCCTCGGGCCCCGACACGGGCCAAGAGAAGCAGCGCGGGAGGAGGAGCCTGCCCCCCCGGAGACAGGGGCCGAGAAGGCCGGAGCCCGCGTCTCGAACTGGTAGAGCCGTCGGATGGCTGGGACGGGGGGGGGAGAATCGGGGATCGAGGATCGACGCCAAGCCCAAGCCTCGAACTAGTAGAGCCGTCAGCCCAGGACGAGGGGGGGGATCGGGGATCGAGGATCGACGCCAAGCCCAAGCCTCGAACTAGTAGAGCCGTCAGATGCCAGGGACGGGGGAGGGGGGATCGGGGATCGAGCATCGACGCCAATCGCCCTAGCCAGCTCAAGCAGCCCAACCAGCCCAACCAGCCCAAGCCCAAACAGCCCACCCTGGCCGCCCAATCCGGCCAGCCCAAAGCCGCCGACCAGCCAGCCCGCCTGCCCCCGCCGCCTGCCCCCAGCCGTCACCGATTGGCCCGGCGGGATGGCCAAACCGCCAGTGAAGCGGCCCGGGCCCCGCGCGAACGGACGCCGGGGACGGTCGCGGCCCTCGGTTGCGACGCCGCCGTCGCTTTGGCAAATTCCCCACGCCCACGCCCCGGGCGGAGAACCTCCCAACACTGAAACGGCAACCACGCTGTTCGAGCAGGGGATCGACTGCAAAATCGATGTTCCCAACGAACAACCCCTGTTGCATCTACGAAAACTGCGTAGAGGTTTACATAGATCCACTGAGGTTTCGAGATTGGTCCGTCGATTCGACGGACAGCTGAATCTTGCGGTAGATAAGATCTGGAATATCCTCTACTCGAGCTGTAAGGGCCCAGCGTCCGCGCAGGGGGGGGGTCAGCAGCCGTCGCAGACAACTGGCCAGCCAGCCCACCAGCCAACGCGACCAGTCCAACCGAGCCAACCAGCCCAGCCCGCCAGCGAATCCGACCAATCCAGCCAATCCAACCTAGGAAAGCTTCATACAATACACCACCAGCCCTGGCCAGGCCCATCCTAGGACCTGGACTGGTGTACAGGCCCTCCTGGCCTAGGTTTATGATGTTCCAACCAACTTTAGCCTGGATCACCAGAAAAAATTCGAGCGCCAGAAAAAAATAACCAAAACTCTATGGTTTTCACGTGTCGGGCCCTGGGAGACACTCGTTCGACACTCTTTCGACACTCTTTCGACACTTTTCCCGGTGCCACAAATGATTTCTGGGATGTGGTCCTGAAGTACAATTGGACCAACATAAGCCTAGGCCTGGAGGTCTATACACCAGAGCTGGTGGCGGTGTATTGTGTGGAGCTCTCCGACAACCAACCCAACCCCGCCAACCAGACACTCCTCCAGCCCGCCTACGCCCCCCGTCGCCTGTCTCAGCCACCACCAGGGCCGGCGGACAGGCGAGCCCAGAATCGAATCGATAAGTCGGATCGGCGATCGATACACATCCGCCGACCCTGTCGGCGTGTGTGAAGGGCTTCTCCATTCGAGTCGCCGTCGCCGTCATTCGTGAATCGTCGTCTCTTTCGCCCTCTTTCCTTACACTCTACTTTCCCTGTGCCCGTCACCGCTCCCCCCTCCTCGCCTGGGCCCTCCTCCGGAAGCGCGCTAGCCGAAGCGAAATTGAACAACGTCGAAGTAGACTCGAAAGGAAACCCCTTCCCTTCGATCCCTTCCCGCCGGGAGGGGGGGGTGGTCCCGGGCCTGGTCCTGGGGGGGCTCCTGGGGGGAGTCCTGGGGGGGGGTCCGGGAGGGGATCCCGGGTCAGATACGACACCCCCCTGGGTGTCCTGGAGCCCCTCAAAAAAAAACCAAGACGAACCAAGACTGCCCCAAGAGGCCCCCAAGACGGTCCAAGAGAGCTTCGAATCGCCGAACGCTCTGTCCAAGACGCCTTCACGGTCTTCAGACGGCCCATGAGTCCTGCAAGACGCCCCAAGAAGCCTCCAGGAGCACTCCCAAGAGGGCCTCCAAAGGAAAACTCATCGATTTCCCATTGGTTTTGAAGCAGTTCGGCGCTCTCGCCTCTTCCCCTTCCCGACGCTCCAAGACGGCCCAAGAGGCCTCAGATCGCTCCAAGAAGGTCGCCTCTTCCCCTTCCCGACGCTCCAAGACGGCCCAAGAGACCTCAGATCGCTCCAATACGGTCGAAGAGGCCTCCAGGAGAGACTCCAAACAGCCCAAGAAAGCCCCAAGACGGCCAAAGTCGCCCCCAAGACGGCCAAAGGCGGCCCAAGAAGCTCTCCAGAGGCCTCGAAAGGGTCCTCTTACTCTTCCTCCTCCTCCTCCTCTTCTTCCTCCTCCTCCTCATCTTATTGTTCTTCTAATTATTATTATTAATACTATTAATATTATTAGTATTATTATTATTAATAATATTATTATTATTAGTACTAGTAGTAGTAATTTTATTAATAATACTAGTATTATTACTATTATTATTAGTAGTAGTGTGTTTCTTAGTGTTCGTATTAGTCTTCTTCTTCTTGTTATCATTAGTATTATTATTCTTATTCTTACTAGTATTATTATTGTTGATATTATGTTTATTCTTATTCGTATGATTCGTAATATTATTCTTATTATTAGTACTATTCTTATCATTATTCATATTACTATTATGAGTATAGTATTAGTAATCTTATTCTTGCCATTATTATTTTTAATAGTCGTATCATTATTCTTCTTCTTATTATTAGTATTCGTATTCTTCCTCTTATTATTAATATTAATATAAACCGTCCTCTTATTGTGTTTAATTAATCTTCTTCTCATTCTTAGTAATATTATTATTCTTATTATTAGTAACATTCTTATTATTATGATTCGTCTTATTATTAGTATTACTACTATCCTCCTCCTCCTCCGCCTCCTCCTCCTCCTTCCTCCTTCCTCCTCCTCCCCCTCCTCCTCCTCCTCCGCCTCCTCCTCCTCCTCCTCCTCCTCCTCCCCCTCCTCCTCCTCCTCCTCCTCCTCCTCCTCCTCCTCCTCCGCCTCCGCCTCCGCCTCCGCCTCCGCCTCCGCCTCCTCCTCCTCCTCCTCCGCCTCCGCCTCCGCCTCCGCCTCCGCCTCCGCCTCCGCCTCCGCCTCCGCCTCATCCTCCTCCTCCTCCTCCTCCTCCTCCTCCTCCTCCTCCTCCTCCTCGTCGCCCTCGTCCTCGTCCTCGTCGTCGTCTTCAGGGTCGGCGGCACTACCCGTAAGGCCTTCTCAATCGGATCGGCGGAAATCGGCAGTCCAGTCGGGATGAGTCGAACCGGCGGAAATCGGCAGGCTGTTAGACTCGGCAGGCTGGTAGACCTCCACTGACGCATCGCAGTCCAGATCGGAATCCGAAGCCGAAGCGAATCGGAATCGGAAGCCATCGGAATCGAATCGAGTGGAACCGGAGCGGTCGAAATGAGCCCTGCCGAGGAATTGAGCAGGGACCGACCGTCCCGGCATTCCTATGGTCCTACCACGAAGTGTTCATAGAACACAAACATGTTCTTAGAACAAATACAAAGTTCTTAGAACATTAACCCGACGTGCTAAAACAAGATAGCCTCGACCACAACTGTTCTAAGAACATGTCGTGCAAACCACGGATCTTAGAACAAGCATTTTTTGGTAGGGCCATAGGCGAGCCGGAACGCTTCGCCACTGCTTGCAGGGAGGGCACTTCTCGGGCCGCGCGGGCAGGGCACTCGTGGTGAGTGCGCCCCCGAGCGCACCTCTGGGCCCTCTTTCTGTGGGTCTCGGCGCCCCCGCCGCAGGAGCGCCCAGAGGCGTGGCGCCCCCGGGGCTGGGAAGGCGGCCCCCGGCAGCGCTGGCCTGCGCGCGGAGTCCCTGCCGACGAATAATAATAATAATAATAATAGTAATAATAGTAATAATAGTAGTAATAATAATAATAATAATAATAATAATAGGGAAGCGGCCCCCAGGCGGCCGTTATCGTTACAACCAGTACGACCATCAACGCGCTCCTCGCCCATCCCCTGGACCCCTCCCTAGAGGTGAGAACCCGAAAAACCGTCAAAAGCTATAGAGAAATCAATGCTTGAGGGCTCTCTTGAAGGCCTCTGGAGCCGTCTCGAGGCTCTCTTGGACCCCTGGACCGTCTGGAGACCATCTGAGGCTCTCTTGGGGCGGTCTTTTGGCAGTTTGGGGACCCTCTTGGGCCGTTTGGGGCCCTCGTGCCGTTTCACGCGAACAAATATAACGAAACAGGCCATGAAAGCTGCCCAGGAGCCGCTTCACTCGAAAAAATACTAGGGAAGCGGCCCCCAGGCTGCCATTACAACCATAAACGCGCTCCTCGCCTGTCCCCTGGACCCCTCCCTAGAGGGCTTCGCCCCAACTCAACGTACATCGCCCGTACCTCGCTCTTTCCGTCACCTCCATCGACACATCGCAACCCACAAGCCGAATCCGAAGCCGAAGCGAACCGGAATCGGAAGCCATCGAAATCGAATCGAGTCGAATCGGAAGAGTCATAGATCAGCCCTGTCGGGGTCTCCCTGGAAGTCCCCACCCTTTCCCCGGAACCGGTTTTTCATCCTGAATCGTTTTTTGACAGTCCCGGGGCCCGGCGAGGGCCCCCCGGAGGCCGAAAATGGCCAAGAACCCGTCGTCGTGATTTTTGTTACGACGCGATCATGTCTGGGTTGACCCCCTGCCACGGGAAGGATTCAAGATCCCCGCCGACGAAGCCCGAAGAAGATCGCCCTCCCTCGGCCTGGCGGGAAGGCCCCAGGCCCTCTTAATCGAGTGCCCCAGGGGCCGCCGCAGGTGGGGAGAGAAGGGCACGGGCGCGACGTGTCCCCCGAATGTTGGCGTCGGCGGCTCGATTGGAGCGAGAGGAAGAGGAGGAGGAGGAGGAGGAAGAGGAGGAGGAGAAGGAGGAGGAGGAGGGGGAGGGGGAGGGGAAGGGGGAGGAGGAGAGCGGCAGTGTTCGGAGAACAGCAATGCCTTCAGGAAATCAGGAAATCAGGGAGGAGGAGGAGGAGGAGGAGGAGGAGGAGGAGCAAGAGGAGAAGGAAAAGTGGAGGAAAAGGAGCGGGAGGGGGAGGATCGAAACACACGAACCACGAAGTTGCATAAGCATTACCTCTCGGAGGTCCGCGCGGATACTGCACGTCGGAGGTGGGACCCTCCCTCGTCGTGGGCGCTGCCCCTGGCGCGCGCGCGCTTCGCGCACCGGGGGGAGCGCCCATCCCGGGCCGTCCCAAGAAATCCCAGCGGATCCCGACTGGGGCGAGAGGGGGGGAGGAGGAGGAGAAGGAGGAGGAAACGGAATGAATGTTAGCCAGCGTGGACCCCAAACAGTGGAGTCTTGCCATGGATGCGGTGCAATCTAGGTGGTACCATCGATGTGTTGCATTCTAGTTCGGACACAGCAGGTGGTGCAATCTATGGCGCAGAGCAACACAAAGCAACGCAAAGTCATGCAACGCAAAGCAAAGCAATGCAATAACATGAGGTCGCACTGCGATAGCAATGCAAACCGATGCAGCGCAATGCACAGCAATACAAAACAATGCAAGGCAAGGCTAAGCAACATAATGCAAAGCAATACAACGCAATGCAAAGCGACGAACAACATCTCGAAGCAATGCAAAACAATGATACGTCATGCAAGGCAATACAAAACCAATCAAAGCATTCCAAAACGACAACTGCAAATATGTGCACGCAATGCCACGCAAAGCAATGCCACCTAATGCAAAACAATGACAAGCAACGTAACGTAATGAAAAACATAACGAAGCAATGCAACTCAACACAAAGCAGTGCAAAGCAGTGCAGTGCAATGCACTGCAATGCAAAGCAATGAAAAGTAATGAAAAGCAATGTTAACCAATGCAACGCAATGCAATGGAAGGCAACGCAAATCAATGCAAAGCAACGCAAAGAAACGCAAAGCATTGCGCAGCAACATCGAAACAATGCAAAGCAATGCAAAACAATATAATGCAATGCAAGAATGTGCAAAGCGATGCAAAGCAATTCAAAGGAATCAAAATAATGCAAAGCAATGCAAAGCAATGCAAAGCAATGCAAAGCAATGCAAAGCAATGCAAAGCAATGCAAAGCAATGCAAAGCAATGCAAAGCAATGCGAAGTAATGCAAAGTAACGCAAAGCAATGCAAAGCAATGCGAGCGTCATGCTACGTACCTGATCCGGTTGTAACGCAATGTGATTGCAAAGCAACGCAAAGAAATGCAATGCAATTCAAAGCAATGCCACTCAATGCGATTGCAATGCAATGCAACGCAAAGCAATGCACGGCAACGCACAGCAATGCACAGCAATGCAAAGCCATGCGGCGCAAGTCGCGGCCACGAACGGCGGCGACGGGCTGCCACAAGCCGGCCGGGGCGGCACCGGGGCCCAGACGAGACGGACGGCGGCGACGGGCGCGGACGGGCGGCCACAAGCAGGCCGGGGCGGCGCTGGGGCCCAGACGGACGGCGGCGACGGGCGCGGACGGGCGGCCGCAAGCCGGCAGGGGCGGCACCGGGGCCCAGACAGACGGGTGTAGGCGGCGCTGAGGCTCGTGCAACAGTTTGAGAGCGGCCCGCCCCTCAAGAGTGTAGCTGTTGGGGGCTCTGAGGATGAAGGCGAAGGGCGCCAAGGCGCCAAGGCGAGCTCCACCTTGTGAAGAGAGCCTTTCGTCCGCAATCCCTGTAGCTGCTGCAACTTTCAAGGTGCATGTGCGCGGCGCGAAAAAGCGAGGGTCGCATCTTGAAAACGTCCCCTCCTCCTGATCCCTTCCCTGTTGCCGTCGGGACTCTGAAGATGAATGCGAGGGGTGTCAGGGCAAAATGGACAGTCTGAAAGCCATTCGCCCTCCGTCCTTCTCACGGATGAAACGTCAAAGGTAAATCTGCGCGGAGTTACGGCGAGAGCGACGCTTGGAAGGCGGTTCGCCGTCCATCCCTGTAGCTGCTGAAACTGTTTAATACTGGTTTGCGCGGCGCTGAGGCGAGAACAGCACTGGAGAACCCACCAGCCCTCCAACTCTAGGGCGACGAGATCTATACATATCCGCTGCTCTCTGGCCAGGCCCACCCTGAACCCAGCAGCTGTGTATACGCCCTTCTGGCCAAGCCAGGAGGCCGTCGCGTATACACCGCTGCCAGGTTGAGGATAAACGTAACCAGGGAGCAATGGATATGTATAGATCTCGTCACCCTATCTGCAATCAAGTGAGATGTCAAGGGTCAGGGTCATAAGTCGTGAGGGGCCCTCAAGCGAAAATCCGGGCCCACGCTGCCGACACGTCTGGCGGTAAGGGGCTGGAGGAGGAGGAGGAGAAAAAGGGCTGGGAAGGCAAAGAGGCGAGGGAAGCAGAAAGGCGAGCAGAGACGATAAAGAGGAGAGGACAATGAAGAGAAGGCGAGGGAAAACTTACAGCAGGAGCAGGAGGAATCTGCTGATGACGACAACGACGAGGGCGGCGGCGGAGGTGACGGCGACGACGAGGACAAGCACGTGGAACAGGGAGACACAGCATGTCGCTAGAGAGAGGTCGACCTGACATAAGTACTCCGAGCACACACACAATACCCTCTCAAGAGGCCACAATGACGAACGAGAGAGAATCATCATACGGGAAAAAATTAGAAGTCCATGGCGACGGGGACGACGACGGTGGCGATGACGAGAACAAGGACGACGAAGTCGACGACAACGAAGTCGACGGCGAGACAGCAACAGAAAAGACAGCAAAGGCAACAAGGAAGACGACGACGATGGCGACGACAACGAGAAGTGATACCTCACCCAAGCCCGACCGTCCTGCGCGTCAGGAATTGCATGTGTTACACATTAACTTCAGGGGGTAGGGCTACGCGGAGAGGGAGGGGACATTTGCTGCCGCCACCTCAAAACAGGCTAGGTGCAGGCGCGCGCAGAGACGAATGGCTAGGGCGCACCCAAGCTTCTCAACCGCCTCCTCGTAGGTCTTGAGGCTTGGGACCTGAAGGCACCCGTTCACACCACGAACCCCCGCACATCGGAAATCAAGCAGTGGGGCTGGGCAAGCCCAAAGAATAGGAACAGGGTGAGAATTACTTACTTGCAGAGACAATGATGAGACGCACATAGCAGAAGGATGAATCGAGCTTGAGATAACCTGCGTTCGGCACATCTGGAAGCTGAACAATGACAGAGCACACAAGGAGAAAGAACGATACTGGCGCAAAGACCCAAAACGTTCAGATAGAAACCTGTGTGGGTGACACCCCTTCAGTACACAGCACCGAGTCTGTGAAACTCCATGCGTGTGAAACCCTGTTTCGGTGGAACGCCACGTGTGCGGAACCCCATGCGTGTGGAACTACATGCGTGTGGAACCCCACGTGTGCGCGTGTGGAGCCTCATGTGCGCGGAGGCTCATGGATGTGGAACCCCATAACCCCCGTGTGGAAACCCGTTCGTGTGGAGCCCCATGCGGGTGAAGCACCCTGTGCGTGGAACTCCACGTGTGTACGATTCACCTTGTGCGTATGCAAAGCAGTGTGTGTGGGCCCCATGAATGTAGAACCCCATGTCCGTGGAACACTGCGCGAATGGAACCTCAAGCACGTTGAACCCCATGCGTGTGGAACCCCATGTGTGAAACCCGTGCGAGTGGTACCCCGTGTGCTCGGAGCCCACATGTGTGTGTGTGTGTGGAGCACAATGTGTGCGGAGCCTCATGTGCGTGTGGGTGGAGCGTAACCTGCGAGCAAACTCAGGCCATGCGGAACCATGTGTATGGAACACGATGTACGGGACCCCACGTGACTGGACCACCACGTGCGTACGGCAACCGATGCGTTTGCAACCCTATGTCTGTAGAACCCCATGTACGTGCGGTCCCCGATGCGTACCCCATGAGTGTGGACCCCGTGCGTGTGTGTGCGTGTGGGACCCTAAGAATGTGGAGCCCAATGTGTGTGGAAACCCATCGCGGCGACTGCGACCACTCAGCATAGCGGGCCAGATCCGCATAGCACACGAAAGAACCTCCGAGTGCAAGCTGCAAGCACTACTTCGAGCAGGACATGCCTATAGAGCAGAAAGAGGAGAACGAAAATCCTACACTGCCATATTCCCGATGTGCCATTGGGGGAAAGCGAAGAAGAGGAACAGGTCAGGGAAGAGGAAGGAGGGGGGAACGAGGAGTGGGAGGAGAAGAAGCGGGGTGGGCGAAGAAGGAGGGTGATGGGGACGGGGCATGAAGGGGAGAAGTGGGAGGAGGGCGAGGAAGCGGAGGACTGGAGGTGGAGCGGATTGGAGCGGAGCGGGACGAAGCGGAATATAGTGGGAATACAAGTGGAGATGATTAGCGTGAAGCGAGGCTGAGTGCACTGGAGCGGAGGGGGTGCAGTGGAGCAATCACATCGGAAACGAGCGATAAGCAAAAAACATATCCCAGCCAGATGCCGCAGAGCATGGGCCAGCGAGGGAAATGTCCCCCTCCGAGTGGCCGAGCCCAGCCGCCTGCAAGAGCACCTGAGGATCAGCCACGATGAGCCTGATGCCCAGAAGGAGGCATCCACGGAGAGCATGGAAAAAAGAGCGCAGCACCCACAGCCAGGAAGAAAAACAAACTCAGAGATCCGTGTGGTGCAGATTCATTATAGCCATACTCACTACGCGGTTTGAGCAATAGCAACTCTGAAGGAGAAGCAGGACGAAGAAGAGCGTCAGCAGCAGCCGGAGGATGAGGGTTCCAGTGTTCGGAAGCGGTGCAGTCAGCAGCGAGGCGAACGCATACTACGAGAAAGAGGAGGGAAGCATAAGAGGACGAGCAGCAGAAGCAGGAGCAGCAGGAGCAGCAGGAGCAGCAGGAGCAGGAGCAGGAGCGGAACGAGAAGGCGTCTCTTCCCAGCACCGGCCGCGGCAAGCGCGCGGCGAGCGGCACGTCGTGGTTTCGGGCGTGCCCAAACATCTTGTCCCGCGAGGTGCACAGGACTGGCCGAATGGCCGACCGACTGAACGTCGCCCCCGCCAGGCGGCCACTCTTGAAGGGGCCCTGGGACACACAAATAAATAGACACAAATGAAAGGATTCCCCAGATTTCCCCATATTTTCTATGGTTTGCCTTCCCGCCCACTTCCCATATTTTCCAATATTTTCTGGGGAATCGTCGATTAATTGTGTCTGTGTGTTTTTTCCCTCCTGAACTCTACCCTCGACCGCCGAGTGCGCAACCTGTGGCGCAACCCCCGTAAAGGCCGCTCTATCATCCTCGGCCGCCGGGTGGCGCAGCCTCGGGCACAACCCACAGCAGGCGGTGTGTTATATTATCGGCCGCCGAAGGCGCGACCCATGGCACAACCCATGGATGGAGAGTGGCGCAACCCTGTAAGAACCGTTTTTCTTTTAGGCACATCTGCCGTCAAATCTATAATTTATTTGAGAGCAGGTCTGCCTTCAAAACAATGGCCTACTCTGTAAGACCGGCTTTTTTGAAGGCAGATCAGATGGTCTACTCTGTAACATCGGTTTGTTTGAAGGCAGATCTGCCTTCAAGAATAAATTTCTTTTTGAAGGCAGATCTGCCTTCAAAAAAATCGTTCTTACAGGATGGCGCAACCCATGGCGGAACCCATGAATACCGCAGACTATGGATCGAGCAGCACACGGGCACAACACACGAAGGGCGCAACCCATGGCGCACCCCACGGATGACGCAGCCGATGGCGTAAACCATGGATCGCGCACCGCATGGCGCGCCAATCATATGGCATACATACCCTTGGCATGTTCTACGGGGCTACGCCCGATGTACGCTCGCCGTTTGGGGCCAAAAGGGCGAGACATCTTGCGTCGCGTTTTCAGCAAGTGGGCCCTGGACCCATCGCCCTTTTCGTGGGGCAGTTTTCGCCCGTGGCCGATATTCGATTAGATGAGGCCCGAAACTTGCCCAAAGGCAGAAACTGAACGAACAGTCACAACAACAACAACAACAACAACAACAACAACAACAACAACAACAACAACTACTACTACTATAACAGCAGCGACAACGACAACGCTCATGTCAAGACTGTTCGTTATTTCTCTACTCGCGCGTCACTCAAAATGTAAATCCCAAGCCCTCGATACCCGCCCCCGTCCTCGATCGTACCCCCATGGAAATATACCTTCCTTACCTGCCTGATCCGGCGACGGAACGCGTCGAGTCCGCACGGAAACGGAACCCGCAACTGATCCACCTTGCCCCAATCCACGCCTACGTTTCCTCGACCTTTGGGGTCAGTCTTCCCTGCCTGCCACGTGCAATTGGCGCGGCCCCTAAAGTAGAAGGAGGAGGAGCGACCGTACCGAATGAGTTCGTGGGGCGGCGCGGCAGCGAGCTAGAGACCAATGGCGGCCTTCGCAGCTGCCAGAATGGTGCAGTGAAATGTGAGTGTGCTGGGAACGCTCCCGCGCACATCGTGCTTTGCCGTCGGCTTGTGGCACATGCGAAACGCCGAGGCATCAATCAGATGCACAAGGCACGGGCGGCACGGGGATACTCCTGGGCGGCAGGCGTCTGGAGGAGGGAGGGGGAGGAGGAGGAGGAGGAGGAGGAGGAGGAGGAGGAGGAGGAGGAGGAGGAGGAGGAGGAGGAGGAGGAGGAGGAGGAGAGGAGGAGGAGGAGGAGGAGGAGGAGGAGGGAGGAGGAGGAGGAGGAGGGGGGGGAAAAGGAAGAGGAAAAAGGAGAGAGCGAGGAGCCCAGGGCCCCCCGACGCAGTGATTTTCTCATAGCGGCGACCCAGAGAGGCCTGGACCGCTTCCCCTCCTCCTCCTCCTCCTCCTCCTCCCCCTCCTCCTCCTCCTCCTCCTCCTCCTCCTCCTCCTGGGGAAAGCTATCATGATGGAAAGCTATCCTCCTGGGTCGACGCAGTGATTTTCTCATAACGTCGACCGGTTTTTCCCGAGGCCCTGGAAGAGCCCCGGGGGGCCGTTCAGAGGATGCTCCAGACCTCTGGGGGTCGACGCTGCGAAAAAATCACGACGTCGGGGATCTGGGCTCGAGCCGCTCCCCCTTCTTCCTCAGAGGTGGTGCTAAAACGTCGGGGGCGCTTTTTCCCCCGTTTCAACCTTTCGGGCTTCGGCCAACCAGAACGGGAAAAGGGTAACCAGAACGGGAAAAGGGCAACCCAGAAGAGAGAGAGAGAGAGAGAGAAACGGCAGCACAAAACGGAACCGAACCGAAAACTGTGCGAACGAGAACCTCAAAGCGGAGACAGAACGGTCTTCAGAAACGGAAAAAGACGTCGATCTTGCAACTATGAAAACGCTCCCCGTGTGGTTCGGAAAAAAAGCTCCTGGTGTGTTTGACGTCACCCAAGCCCACGCCATCCAGCGGGGGGGGGGGGCCGCGGGCCAAAGACCGTCGACGCGCAAGAGGCCGCCCCCCACGCGGGCTCACGAGGCGCCGTACTCTCGGCCGTCCCGAGGCCAGCACCCCCAGGCGGCACGAGCCTCGAGGCGGTCCCCCTCGATGTTCAGGACCACCGTCTCGGCGTCGTAGGCCTCGAGGCGAGCGGCCGCCAGCCGACACCGCCGCGCTCATCGCAATCATCAGCAGCAGCAGCAGCAGCAGCATCATCATCATCATCATCATGATCATCATCATCATCATCATCATCATCATCATCATCATCATCATCATCATCATCAGCATCAGCATCAGCATCAGCATCAGCATCAGCATCACCATCATCACCATCATGACCATCATCATCATCACCCCATCAGCAGCATCGTCATCCTTATTATTGTCATCATCATCATCATCATCATCATCATCACCATCAGCATCATTATCCTCATCATCATGGTCATCATCATGGTCATCATCAACCTCATCAGCAGCAGCAGCAGTATTAAAAGCATCAGCATCAGCATCAGCATCAGCATCAGCATCGTCGTCATCATCAGCATAGTCACCAGCATGATCATCATCAGCAACATCATCATCCCAATCAGCATCATCATCAGCAGCAGCATCATCATCGTCATCATCATCAGATTCATCATCATCAGCATCGCCATCACCATCAACATCATCATCAGCAGCATCGCCGCCATCATCATCTTAGGTATCATCAACATCATCGACATCATCCTCCTCTTCATCAGCATCATCAACATCATCAGAAAATGCATCATCACTATCAACACCATTAAAAGAATGATCATCATGATCAGAATCACCATCAAAATCATCAGCATAATCAACATCATCAACATCATCAGCATGCCCATCGTCATCGTCATCAGCATCATTGTCAGCATCAGCATCAGTATCAGCGTCGTCACCATCATCATCATCATCATCATCATCATCATCAGCAGCATCATCATCAGCATCATCATCATCAGCATCAGCATCAGCATCAGCATCAGCATCACCATCATCACCATCATGACCATCATCATCATCACCCCATCATCACCTCATCAGCAGCATCGTCATCCTTATTATTGTCATCATCATCATCATCATCATCATCATCATCATCATCACCATCAGCGTCATTATCCTCATCATCATGGTCATCATCATGGTCATCATCAACATCATCAGCAGCAGCAGCAGTATTAAAAGCATCAGCATCAGCATCAGCATCAGCATCAGCATCAGCATCGTCGTCATCATCAGCATAGTCACCATCATGATCATCATCAGCAACATCATCATCCCAATCAGCATCATCATCAGCAGCAGCATCATCATCGTCATCATCATCATCATCATCAGATTCATCATCATCATCAGCATCGCCATCACCATCAACATCATCAGCAGCATCGCCGCCATCATCATCTTAGGTATCATCAACATCATCGACATCATCCTCCTCTTCATCAGCATCATCAACATCATCAGAAAATGCATCATCACTATCAACACCATTAACAGAATGATCATCATGATCAGAATCACCATCAAAATCATCAGCATCATCAACATCATCAACATCATCAGCATGCCCATCGTCATCGTCATCAGCATCATTGTCAGCATCAGCAGCAGTATCAGCGTCGTCACCATCATCATCATCATCATCAGCAGCATCATCATCATCATCATCATCATCATCATCATCATCAGCATCATCATCATCATCATCAGCATCATCATGATCATCATCATCATCATCATCATCATCATTAGCATTCCCATCATCGTCACCAGCATCAGCGCCCTCAGCATCATCATCAAAATCAACACCATCAGCATCACCATCAACGCCATCAACAACATCATCATTATAGTCGTCACCATCATCGACAACATCAGCATCGTCATCCTCGGCAGCATCCTCATTATCATCCTCATACGCATCCGCATCAGCAGTAGCATCGTCGCCAGCGCCATCATCATTCGAAGCACTATCATCATCCGAATCATCATCAGCATCAGCGGCAGCATCCCTCATCCTGATCATCCTCAGCAGCATCATCATTACCATAATCGTCAGCATCATCATCATCACCGTCATCACCGACATCATCAGCAGCATCATCATGCCACCGTCTTGATCACCGCCATTGTCGGACACATCATCATCGCCGTGGTCATCTTCACCCTCACCGTGCTCACCGTAGCAATCATCACCCACTATTGCGACTCGTCGTCATCGCAATCATCCGATATTGTTCATCGTCGCCGACATCCGTCATCAGCACCCACCCGAAGCGATCCGCTCGAAGAATGCGCCCCCTTTCTACACTGCGCCGCGATCCTCGCAGCATGCATCCGAACATACTTCGACGTCTGCACATGGAAAGCCACACTAGCACGAGACGCTCTCTGCAGGGCCAGATTGATGCAGGCACTAGTCGTCGAGGAGATGGCCTTGTGGAAATCCATCCCCATGTCTGCAGCCTGCTCCTCCTCCTCCTCGCGGGGGTCGCGAGGAATGAACCTGTCGATCTCGGATGACTCCTGCCAGAAAAGGCGCGCGGGGGCGGTGGAGGCACGCGAGGGGCGTCGCCACGGGAGTTGGACCTGCCTTTCTCCTCTCTACCTCCCTCCATCCCTCCTGCCTCCCTCTCCTCGTTTCTTTCCCTCTCCATCTCTGCCCCTTCCTCCCTCTCCCTGCTCGCGCCCCCTCCCTCCTTCTCGCCACATCCTTCGTCCCTCTGTGTGTCTCTTTGTTTGTTTTTCTCTCTCTCTCTCTCTCGCTCTTTCTCTCGCTCTCTCTCTCTCTCTCTCTCTTCTATCTCTCTCTGTATGTTGATTACTCTATGTCTCTCTCTCTCTCTCTCCCTCTCTGTCGTTCTCGCCCTACCTCTCCGCCTCTCCCCCTCCTCCCTCCCCCCGTCCCCGCTTCCCCCAGTCACCCAGTAAAGATATGTACAGGCCCCCTGTTGCCTCTCTTAGACCTGTATGTAATTGTGGGTTGTGAAATTGAGTTTCAAAGGATAGTGTATTCATGTTTTCTCCTTCGCCAAGGGCTCAAGTCGAGAAACCACCTTTGGTAGCGAATGATACGCTATCGCTGTCTCCAGCCAGGCCATCCGCCGCGCCAGCGCGCGCCGCCCCGCCAGGAAGAGACGTGCACCACCACGGTGAATCGCTCCTTCAAGAGCTTCTCCGCCGAATGCCTCCCAGCCCGTACACCGTGAAGGCAATCGAGGACAGCAACATTCGCGCGCAGTGCAAGCACCTTGCCAAGGCGACAGAGCAGTATCTGCCTGATCTTTGTGTTTGTACGAAGAGTTCTCATTACGATGGCTCACGATGTTGGTGGTTACTCTCCAGAACCGGGCCTGCCGCTGGACAGCTTCACTAAGTATCCTCTTCGGCGGTATGTTCAACTCCTTCGTGCACGTTGGCGCCAGGCAGACGTGGGCTAGAGTGCGTGCGGACCTGCTATGTCAGGCAGGTTGCGCGGCGCAGCGTTTCAGATTGCCAACAGCGTCAAGGCGAACCGCCTCGATCTCGCGACAGGCATGGTGAGAGAGATGCTTGGTGATGAGTTGTTGGCTCAGCCGAGCCACGAGAGGTGGCAGAATGCAGCAGGCGAAGCGATCCCAGCCGAGCATGCCCGAGCGAATGCGTTGCTCAACGCATTGCAGCGGGAGTTTGACACGCAGGAGGAGATGAACATTCAGTCGCTGGGTGCCTTCTTGATGCATCACCGTGGCAGCCTCAGCTAATCAGATGATCTGAGAATGTGGAGAATGACATATGATGAGGCTCACCAAGATTCACGATTGGAGATAAAGAATGCTGGGAAATCATGTGTGCTTCTTCGGGCGTCAGGCCTCTCGGATCGGCTCCAGGATGATACCAAGCTGAAGCTGGACGGCAACCTTGGGCGATTCGAGGGTCTGGTGACGCTGCTCCAGCGGATGGCCCATGCTGAGACAAACTTAGGCTTGAGCATTCCCGGGATGGTCAAACAGCATTGACAAACTCAGAATAGTATGACGACAGATGGTATGCTGATGGATGGTATGATTACTACGACAGCTACTGTGAAGGAGACTGGTGGAACGATGACGGTGAATGGTCCGAACATGCTTGGTCACAACATATGCCAACTTTTGAAGGCAATGAGACGGCACCGACCACAACAGCCTCAGAATCCAAGGACGACTGTTACGGTGAAAGCCAGAAAAGGTAAGAAAAGTCAAGCCGTAACGGCGGAAAGGATGACGGGTGTACTATATGTGGCCATAAAGTTTCTCGCAATACCGATTGCCCACCCTATCGATCAGATTCCCCAGAAGGTAAGAAACGACCGACATCACAGTGTGGCAAATGATACAGCAATGATGGCGGCAAGTATCGCTCTTCATCAAGAGGTCATGGCAAGTATCGCTATTCATCAAAAGGTGGTGGCAAGTATCGCTCTGCATCCAAAGGTCGTGGCAAGAACAAAAACTATTCAAGCAACGGGAAATGACGTAAAAGGAGGATCCGATAGAGATTTCAAAGCTAACGAGCACTACGACTACGACTATACTGGATCAGAATTCGGATATGGTGTGAATTATGTCTTCTCGTAATTATAACTTGTTTTCTTGGAGAACGGAGGACGCCATCCCGAAGACGAGCCTCTTCACCGAGCAGGAAGTGGTACAGCCAGAAGAACCACAAGATTGTCCCACCTTGCCGTTACCAACTCCAGGGACATCGCATCTCAGTGGAAGTTCTCACTCGGTTGGGTCCGTTGGGACTTTACCTGAAGTAGTGCGCAGATCGCCTGACGCAGATAAGAAAAAATGAAGTCCTCAACGATGTTCGACTCGACAGGGATACCTTCTCCGGGTGCAACTGACGAAGATAAACGATTCCGACCTCCTGCTGAGCAAGACGAGACGTTCGACGTTCCGGCCAAGCTAAGATGAAACGTGCGATCTTCACGACAAACAAGAACGACACCAATGGTCAAATCACTGAAGCTGGATCTCTCCGACGTACGCAGGAGTGATGGGACGGCACCCGCTGCCGCTGCGAAGTCCAGCGAGAGCGCCTCTAGCGAGGACATCAACGAAACCTAGACAGCAACGCTGGGTAAGTCTGTGGAGGTTTTGCAGGCCGAGGACTCGGTCGACAGTTTTGAAGATCGCCACTTCGAGGACCCTCGTCTACGAGGGGCACAGGGGGGAAGCTCTCACTGGTGAGGCGGGGGAACTTCAATGCGAGAATTACTTCCCAGATGGCTGAGCTCGAGGGTGTGATGAACAGTCTGGCTAAACGGGTTCACGGGGAGCATCGACCCCCGATAGCACCAACAAAGTCCAACACTTCGACCACCTTGGCGGGCCCAGGGACACACAAATTAAATAGTAACAAATCCTGGGAGTACCCATGTTTTCCATGTACATGTTATGGCTGTTCGTCTTCCCCTCCACTTCCCATATGTTCCCCTCATTTCCCGGGGAATCGTAAATCAGGCGCGCATGTGTCTCGCCGCCCCTCCCGGAAATCTTGCCCCCGACCACGGACCTCGACCACGGAGGACAGAGGCGGGAAACTGTACTCATTTCCTCGGCGGCGCGCCCGGGGGGGAAAGCAGGGGGGCGGGCCGTACTCGGGAAGCTCAGAAAGGCCTCTGGAAGGAAGGAAGGAAGGAAGGAAGGAAGGAGTACCCTACGCCCTACGGCGCGTCGGCGCGGCATGCGCTGAGGCGAGCACGACAAAGTTCTCGACCTCGAACAGCGTGCTTTCGGGGCCTCCTCCAGGGTCACGGAGGGCGTCTGGGAAGGCCGGGGGGGCGTTTCTGAGAAGCCCCACCGCCCTCCGAGAAGGCCTGCCCCCTCTCGCCCACAGCCAGTCCGTATAGATGTTGACGTGTTTCGAGTCGGCCTGGCCAGCGAGAGTGCCGAAGGGGCAAGGACGCGATGGTAACCTTGGAAAGTCGTTCACCCTTACTATGCGGGTTGACTGCCCCCCCTCGGCGCGCCGCCTCCTCTCGGGATCAATCAGCATCGACGTGGGAAACCGGATCGAATCAGGACGCCCCCCCCCCTTCCCCTCCCTCAAGGCAACGGAATATGTACATCGACTCGCTGCCCCAGGCCTGGCGCGTCAGTGGGGCCCAGGGGAGCGGTGCCTACACCCTCCTGTCCCTGGCCAGGGAGGCCTAGATAAACCGCCACCGGGGCCCAGGAAGGGCCAGGCCTGGGGCGTCGGAGGCGTCGTCGCCTTCTCTCCCTGACACCCGTGCCTGTCCTGTCCGTCCTAGCCTTGTGGATGCCATGACAATGGACACTCTAACAATCCGACCATTGAATTAAAGACGTGTTCAAAAATTGTAAACATGTTCTAAAAATGTTTCATATATGTGTGTGATACACATTTAAAACACATTGTAAGTAGATGTTAGACATCTGGAAATTGTTTGGCAGCGCGCCAAGGCACACACACCCCTGCCCACCCCTGCAGAATTACGCGACCGAGGAACCCCACATACTTACTTTAAAGATTATGTGTTTGCTTATGTATAATATATATATATATATATATATATATATGCACAATCCTGCGTTCTGAGCCCTCGTCGCGAATGTTCCCTATGGGTCATCCAACGCCAAATTTTGGGCGACATTGCTGCCGCGCGTAGGCTGGGCGGTTGTTGCCCGCAAATTGGAGCACAGACAAACTTGCGTAAATGCGCAGTCGTGCCGCGCCGGCTTGAGCCGCGATGTTTACGGATCAGGGTAAGACGCAAGCTCTCACGCGCAATGCGGTGGATAATCACTGCACCAAGAGATCACCCCCTGCGCTGGCCCTATAGTCCAGGGAGAGTGCCACGCCTGCTAAGCTTTGCGACAGTGTCGTGGGTGGCGGCCGCGCTCAGAGACCCCCTGTGGTGTCGAGAAAATGCCACGGCTGCAAAGCTTTGCGCCAGTGTCGTGGATAGCGGCCGAGCTGAGAGACCACCCCCTGCCCACCCCCTTTGGTGTCGAGAAAGTGCCACGCCTGCTAGGCTTTGCGCCAGTGTCGTGGATGGCGGCCGAGCTGAGAGACCACCCCCTGCGCACCCCCTGTGGTGTCGAGAAAGTGCCACGCCTGCTAGGCTTTGCGCCAGTGTCGTGGATAGCGGCCGAGCTGAGAGACCACCCCCTGCGCACCCCCTGTGGTGTCGAGAAAGTGCCACGCCTGCTAGGCTTTGCGCCAGTGTCGTGGATAGCGGCCGAGCTGAGAGACCACCCCCTGCGCACCCCCTGTGGTGTCGAGAAAGTGCCACGCCTGCTAGGCTTTGCGCCAGTGTCGTGGATAGCGGCCGAGCTGAGAGACCACCCCCTGCCGCACCCCCTTTGGTGTCGAGAAAGTGCCACGCCTGCTAGGCTTTGCGCCAGTGTCGTGGATAGCGGCCGAGCTGAGAGACCACCCCCTGCGCACCCCCTGTGGTGTCGAGAAAGTGCCACGCCTGCTAGGCTTTGCGACAGTGTCGTGGATAGCGACCGAGCTGAGAGACCACCCCCTGC